ATGCTAACATGCGAGAGGACTCCCCAAAGGGGTTATGGTGGGCAAACTTCCGGGAGTTTTGCCTGCGGTCTTGTGTCATTTAGCAACTTTGAGAAAGGTGTCCGATTCTTACTCCTCCAGGATAAGGCCAAGTTAGGGAGAAGGCCCGCTGCACTGTGGGTCAAGACAGCTGCCAATACAAAGATACCCAGGATTTTATCCTCTGAAAATACACAGGCGAGAGGCAGAGGAAGTGGATTTCAAAGAAGCAGCCCACAGAGGAAGACTCACCTGAAACCTGCTGATTCTCTGCCAGGATGATCATTTTCCTCACGTACGGCTCTTTTGACACCGCGAAAGGCTCCGGCGTCCTCCTGTCCCACAGCAGGAGGGCTCCGCTGTGCACGGTCGCCAGGTAGGGCTCGTGAGCCGCTATAATGCCGTCACTCCAGGTTTTGTTCAAAGTGTACGTTCTATTTTTTAGGAGACTCAGACTTTGCAACCCTAAGGAAGAGTCAAGTGCTTACAAGCTGACAGAGAACAAGTAACCCGTGACAGAGGGCATGGGTAGCCCTCGATTAAGGGTCAGTGAGCCCCAATGATAATAAGCACAGATTCTTCCTATCGAGTTTTGTAGGTTTTAGTTTTGTAGTTAAAGATAGTCCCAGGAAGTGTTTAAAGCTCCAGGAACGCGAGATCTGCCACGTGGAGGCGTCAGGCATGCATTTCCTGTCTTTCAGGCGGTGTGCTAACACGCTCGGTCGCCTGCACACAGCCACCAGCCATTGGAGGTGGCTTCTGGAGGAGGAGACCATCAGAGTGGGCAGCAGGGTAGAAGTTGTATCTGATATCCAGTGTACCTAAAGCACCTCTGTTTCATTTGCAATGCAAGTTTGGGTCTATTACTTCTACTCATGGAGACAGAAACAGATTCCGAACAAAAAGCAACTAAGTATATGTTAGCTCTGCAGTTTTCTACCTCTCAAGTCAGAATCTAGACTTACAAAGGAAACCGAGTTTGAGCTGAGGGATATGTGCCCAAGCTGTAACTATGAAAATCAGAATTTGAGCCGAGGTCTAGCTAGTTCTTGGGCCGACAGCGATCCTCATGCTGAAATGAGCCTTACCACCACCACTCCCCCAGCTTCTTCCAACCACGCTGCTCTGTGTCGCGCTTACCTGACCCTTTGGTCGTCCAGAGGATGCTAGATGAGCCAAGGTCTAAGGCCATGTGGGTGTCCGCCGTCCAGGTGCCTGTCCAGACTTGCTGTCTGGTTTTGCCATCGAGGGTCATACTTTGCAAGTATTTCCCACTTTCTACCCAGTAGAGCACTCTCTTTGGCCAATCGAGAAGAAGATGCAGTATAATGCTGCCTGTTCTGTAGAGGGTCCGGGCGTCTGGGCCAGGGATTCTAGTCTTCTGGATAGCACTTCAGTCACAGGGCACCCAGTACAAGTTCCCCATGGATATGTCCACATTTGCTGAGCAGACTGTGAGGGGAGAAAGGAACTCCCATTAGAAAGGACATTCAAATACATTCGTGCACGGTCTTAACGTCTTGGGTCAAGGATAGAAGATGCTTAGAGAGATGCAAAGCCTGGTCCCTACAAGTCTACATGCCTCATTCACATGAGGAGTCCCATCATGCTTACTCTGGTTCCAGCACCTTATCTCTCATACGAGCCCAGGTGATCCTCACAACCAGCTGGTGAGGGAGATATCCACCGCCTTTTAGAAGTTAGATATCTAAGTGGCAATGCTTACGTTTGCATGCAGACCTGCAACTTTGGATTCACCTCCCTCTTCGTCAGTTAAGTATGAAAATCAATCAATGATATGCCAAGTGGCTAGAACTGAAATCACTATGGGAAAGCAGAGACTGGGTAAAGTGTCACCACAACAGTGGTATGAAAGGTCACCGGTAGAGCGGATGGATAATGAGGAGACCTACAGCTAGAAGACAGAGATAGGGTAGGGACCAAGTATGTGAAAGCCACAAAGTGGTAGCTTTTAAATGTAACAGACATGGGCACTAACCCACCAAGCGCTCCCTACTCCCATCCTGGCCCAGTAGAGCTGCACCAGTGGGTCTCAGCTAGGAAGTACCCACCCTGGGGTGCAGTATAGCATAAAAGAGCAGTATTAGGCTAGCAAGTCAGATTGCTGTTTTTGAAGCACATTCCAAAATAAGGTGTCAGCTAATTACTATGCCTCAGTTTCTGCAAATGCCTGGTTGGGACGGTGCTTCTCTCAGTTTTGAGGATTAGAGTTCGCACCCATGAAGAGCTTGGGAGAGCATCTGTTATCTTAGAGCCACGTGCTGGAATGGCCAGTTGTTAAATTCAGGAATGCCTCAAGCTTGCTGTCCGATATAATCATTATTAAAACTAAATTACTTCAACTTAATCGTATTTGAAATGAAAATACTCCAGTCCTCACATTCCTGCATTTTGCTACCGCACACCCCTTTCTAACCCCACGTTAAGTGACATTACATTGGGAGCTTGAAACCTGGCACTGTGGGCATATTTTTAACCAGAGCCATTGGCAAACAGTCCCTATCTTGGGAGGGCTTGATTTGTTTTCGGTTTTGTTTTCTAGACCAGGGACTGACAAACAATGGCTCTTGGGCCAATTCCAGCCTGCGGTGTGTTTTTGTAAATTCCGGGGGAACACACCATGGTCATTCGTGCACATATGGTCCTTGGCTCCTTTGCAGATACAATGGCAGAGTGCCCGACTAGCCTGAAATAGTTAACTGTAGTTACTGTCTGGCCTTTTCTAGAAAGAGGCTGACAACCCCTGGCCTGGACTTAAGTGGCAGAGGAAAAACATTAATATTGCAAATTAAACTCACAGGAGTCCCACCTATGGCCATGACATTTTAAAGACCACAAAAGTTGGGGGAACATTTTCCTAGTATTTGAAAACAATTATCCAAATCCACGAATAAGTCCTTTGGGTCAATAAACTCATTCCAATTAGTTTTCACTGGTGCACTTCTTGCTTGTTTATGGGAACAAGCGTCAAGTAACATTACAGTAGGACTGTATTCACTCAGCAATGGCAGCGACTCCTTGCCAAATCAGATCGCAATCAAGCATTTATTCATGGTTGGATTTTGTTAAATTTTGATTGAACTATAAACTGCTTTTTTGTTCTGAATTCTTGGATCTGTAGCCAATCTGAAAATTATGTAGCTATATGAAATTTACAACAAAGGACATTGTATATTTTGTTATTTGTGAACTGTTACAACCTTTATATCAGTAAGCTTTATTACAAACATATATAACCTATCTATGCGCACATCCCCCACCCCCCAGAGAGCTGGGTCTTTATATAATAGAATACCCTGTAGTGTGCTGGGACGTATTTCAGAACTCAAATGTTAACTACGAGGGAGGCTGACAAACAGACGAGCCACAAAGCTGGGCCATGGGTAGCAGAATGGAGAAGCCTGTACACACATGATTCGTGTGTTCTAGTTCTTCCCACTGCCTGGGTGTTAGGCTGGGAGGTCTTACTCTTCCTCACGTTTTCATGTGGAGGAACTTGCACAGAGTTGTCCCGCACATTCCTTAAGTCACTCTAAGGAAAGAAGGGACTTGAGGTTGGCAAGTTAGTTAAGAACAGACTGGCCGCACCCAGTTCAGCTTCTCTCTTCTCCTTTGGGCTCAGCCATCGGCACAGAGGACATGTTCTCTCTGGCATTAGATCTAACTAGTACCGTGCAGATTCAAGGTTGAAGGGCCAGTTGTCAGGGACACAGAATGTTCTTTGAGCAATTCTATGCAGGTTCTTAAAGACATGAACTCTTGCCTAAAACAGAATTTTGAAGCCCTCCCATTTTTTATTAGCAATCTCCTCTGTATTTCCCAGCTACACTTTTCAATGAGGACAAGATTAACTCATTCAAGAGGAAACACTAGGGCACCTGGATGGCAGAGTCAGTTTAGCGTCCGACTCTTGGTTTTGGCTCCAGTCATGATCTTGGGGTCATGATATAGAGCCCCACGTTGGGCTCCATGCTCAGCACACAGTCTGCTTACGTATCTCGTTCCCTGTGGCCCTCCCTGCCATGTGTGCTCAATCTCTCTCTCTCGAATAAATCTTTTTTTTTTTAAAGAGAAAACACTGATATTAGCACCCTCTAATATAAGGATAAGCTGAAAGCTGCATGCTTATGAGTTGTAAGGAGGTCCTGAGATCTGCAAACAGGTCCTGATAGGTAGTAACCAGCCTGATCCCTTCTGTGAAGGGCCTGCCTGGCTTTGTCAAGTCTTCAGCCACTGTACAGGAAAAAACACACCCGTGTGGCACCTTTACTTCTACACCTTTACTTCTCCAACACTTCTGACACCAGATGTGGGTGTGTGTGGGGGGGGTCCCCACACCAAGCAATTCTGCAACACTAGCCAAATGTCCCACAGTTCAGTTCTGACCCTGTCCTCCTAGAGCTAGCATCTAGGACAGGCCCGTGGGTTCTGTCCCAAGACTGCCCCCACTTCTGATGCCAGTCACAACTCTGGTTGTCACCTGCATTCTGATCCACCGGCTCTAAATCGGGGCTCCTACAACCCCCTTGAGTTTAAGAATTTGCTGCTCACAGAACTGAGGGAAACACATTTACTGGTTTATTTCATAAGAGATACAGATAAACAGCCAGCCAAAGAGATCCACAGGGCAACATCCAAAGGGCCCACAAGTAGGAGCTTCTGTTCCCATGGAGATGGGGAGTACTACCCTCCCAGCATACGGATGTGTTCACCAACCCAGCTCGCTGAACCCCCTACTTTGGGGATTTCATGGAGGCTTCATCACACAGGCATGGCTGATCACTGATTCCATTTCCAGCCCCTCTCCACCCTCCAGCGAACAGGGAGTGGGGCTGAAAGTTCTAAGCTTCTAGTCATGGCTTGGTCTTTCTGGTAAACAACCTCCCAGGGTCAGTGGCAAGGTTTTTAAATTTGTTCTGGCCTTAAGTCTGGATAATGTAGAAATGGACCTTAAATTCAATTTTGTACTGCACTGCAGACCCCACCAAAATTGCCTCATTCAAACCAAGGTCTTCCCATCACCTAGAAAATTCCAAAGGACTTAGGGGAGCTCTGTGTCCGATGCTATCACTCAGGAAGTTACAAAGGTCTCAGGAACTCTGTGCCAGTAACCAGGGACAGAGACCTATATATTTCCTATTATTTCAGAGTCACCTATCACAGGGACTCAACGTTCCACAGTAGAAGCCAGCTCAAATGAAGTTGCCAGTCCCCCTTACAAATCCTTGATGTGATCATTGTAACACAGAAACCTATTGGCTAAGATTGGCCAGTGGAGCGAAGGTGGCTTTTTAATTGGTAGGAAGAAATGGGAAGAAATTCGAGATGACGAGTTTTCTCAGACAGCCATCAGACGTATTTCAAGAACACAGCCCATTTCACTTTTTCCTGAAAGTTCTCCGGGGCAGGTATTGGAAGTTCTTAGGTGCCAGGCGTTGTGCTTGCCCACAGGACTCGGTAGAGTCTCCTGCTCTGAAGGATGTCTCAGGAACACGCATTTCAATATGGCGCTTCTTGTAGTAAAGCACATCATTGGTACTTGGAGTACCCAGGGCCCAGACACTCAGAAATCAAATTACTCAGCCCAGAGCTCTAGCCTCATGTTCTCTTTTATAAAGTAGATATTTGCCTTTAGGTGGAGTACAGGGTGATAAGGATGGGCTGTGCCATTCAGCAGTGTGGGAGAGGAGAGAAAGTATATATTACCACAATAAGAAGATATCTTGCTAGTTCTCTCAGAAATCTGCATTGCAAATCATTTCTAAATTAGTGCAAGAAAACTAAAATGCAAATGCAAAATTGAAATATTTAAGGTCTATTTCTATCCTACCCAAACTTAAGGCCAGAAAAATGGAATTGAATTTCAAAAAACTTACCATTGACCTTAGGATTTCCCAAATCACGGTAGCCTTTTAACAGCCTGTGCACCTTTCGTGAGTAAAAGGGTAAGTCAGATAGTTCATATTTAAATTACTTTAAAAACCATTAAGGTTGATTGAGATCAGGAACAGGTAGATATTTTTTTTTTTGGCTCTAATTAATTTTAGAGCCAGAAAATAAAGAGGAAAATCCAAAATTGCCACCCAGCTTACCTGTATGCTCTGTCCAAATCTCTTGCTTTTCTCCTGAATAGCCAGTTGAGCAGAATAGCTGTCCCTGGGCATTTGTCCAGTAGATGAGGTTTCTTTTCCGGTCAATATCCAGTAAATAGATGTTCCTTGGATGCTCTTGAACTAGGGTTCTCTCTATAGCAGTTCCCATAAAACCAACTTTCAATAAGTAGAGACGTTTGCCAGAAGAAAACACTAGCTTTAACTCTACCAAGAAAAAGGAGAGATGTACTGTTTGGCCATTTGTCGGATAAGCCCCATGCTCCTTTCTTGAGCAATCTCTCCAGCTGAGGTACACTTCTAAAGGGGCCTTATCAAGTTCCCTTCTGAAACACATATACAACACCAATGCCCGAGGAACACCAATGCCCTAGCTTCCTTGGAGAAGGGAGTCATTTGGGCAAATGAAGACTTGTTCTGCTTTCCAAAGGCACTAAGTCTTTCGAATTTCTGCTGAAAGTTTACACAGAACCACAAGGATTAGGGCTGGGCGGTGCCCCATTTGATTCGGTAATGTCCTCAAATCCTTGTTCATGGCACACAAGCCTCAGTAGAAAGAATTTTAAATGTGATTGCCTACTTAAAAGTTACTTGGGTATTTAACTCTATATATAATGTTCAAGATACAATTTAAGCTGAAGTCCTGAGTTTGGCACAACAGCCTATTACATACACCATGATCACATTCAGTCGCTATCCCGGAGAATTATGTTCTTTAAAGGTAGTTAGAGCATGAACGTATTTACATCATTTATCCTTCTTAAAACCTGAGTGTTCTCTAGCAAAAAGTAATTGGAGGGGGGGTACCTGGGTGGCTTAGTCAGTTAAGCATCCGACTCTTAGTTTCAGCTTAGGTCATGATCTCAGGATTGTGAGATTGAGCCCTGCATTGGGCTCCATACTCAGCGGGGAGTCGGCTTGAGATTCTCCCTCCCTCTCCTTCTGCCCCTCCCCCTGTTCATGCTCTGTCTAAAATAAATAAAATCTTTCAAAAAAAAAAAGTAATTTGGATAGAGATGCTCAATGGAGCTTATAAGCCTTAATATTTCAAAGACAAAACAATTAACAATACTGAAGTAGACCCTGCTTATAAACCTAAGTCAGAATACACAGTAGTCATAAGACGATGGAGAATTTCTTTTTCATACCAACTTAATTTTTGGGTAAAACTGAGAGGTGTTAGCTATTTTTTCCTGCTTCAAAAATCAATCAAACCCAAATATTCATTGATGGATGAATGGAGAAATCAAATATAGTATAAATAAAATGATTATTCAGCCTTAAAAAGAAAGGAAATTCTGACACATATTACAACATGTATGAACCTTAAAGACAGTAAAGTAAAATCAGCCAGCAACATAAGGACAAATAGTGTAGGATTCCACTTATATGAGGTTCCTAGAGTTGTCACATTCGTACAGAAAGCAGAATGGTGGTTTAAGGGTGGGGCTGGGGGGAAAAGAATGGGGAGTTATTGTTTAATGGGTATAAAATTTCAGTTTAGGGAGATGAAAAAGTTCTGGAGAGGGGTGCCTGGGTGGCTCAGTCAGTTAGATGTCCGACTCTTGATTTCGACTCAGGGCATGATCTCAGGGTCATGAGATCAAGTCCCACATCAGGCTCTGCGCTCACTGGGGAGTCTGCTTGAGTTTCTCTCCCTCTCCCTCTGCCCTTCCCTCTTGCTCACACGCTCTCTAAAATAAGTAAATCTTTTAAAAAAAAGAAAAAGGAAAAAGGTCTGGAGATGGATGGTAGTGATAGTTGCATAAAAATGTGAATACACTCAAAGCCACTATACACTTGAAAGAGGTCAAAATAGCAAGTTTTACGTTCTATACTTTTAACACAATAAAAAAAAAAAAACCCAATCAAGATCTTTGGACAACAAAACTTATCAAAGGTTGTCAATGTTAAAGTGATTGATCCCAAAATGGAAACTCCATTATTTCCAGGCCTACCATGGAATGTGCCTCCTTGAGCCAAGCCCATTTCACCCAGCATACTTACCACTACATATCCCAGAAGGTAGAAGGAACATTCCCTCTGGACAAACACACTTATAGCCCTTGGGATGGACGGGGGACAGGAGACAGAGGTGGCTGCACGAGCCCGGAGCACATGCTGGGTATTTGCCTATTTTCAAATAGAAATAGGTTAGATATGATTTCAGAATTCTCCACACTAGTTCAAAATTTAATACTCAAGGGGAGTTAAGTTAGTTTTGCCTTAAGAGGAATCCCAGTATACTCGTTACCTTCCAGGTTAGGCATGCTGACCTTTAAACTCCCATGATCCCCTTTCGGATAGTAGCAATTACTTATCCATATTAAGCTCAGGCCAATAAGTCTTCAACTAACAGCATCTTCTGCCCTAGAGTTAAGTCAAAAGGACTGCCCTGGTTGCTGATAGGAAGACTCCTTTAGAAGTAAATAGCGGTCTCAGCTCTCTACTTCGGTGAGTCTCTCGGACCCATTTAAGAAGTATTATCTGAGTTGAATCTGACATATAATTTCTGATTAACAAAAGCTTTTAACTCCTAGTCAATGAATATTTGACTTCCTTCTATAAACAGGATGCTGGGCTTTCTTCAATTTTCTGTCAAGAACTGAAAACTTCTACGTCATCAACGGTTAACATGTCAGTGACATACCCTTGGGCCGTTGGGATTTGTGGAGGACCGAGAAAGCAGATATGGAAGCACTGAGCAAAACCACTCTCTCCTTTGGGGTGTGGGGTGAAGTGTGAAACAGCCGTATTTTATTTGCCCAGAAGAAAGAGTTCTCAAATACAGCTAGTCCTATCGGGTCATCATCTTCCAAGAAGATCTCAGGAAAGGTGTGCCTCCCACTGCCATCCACGTTTACTGTCTCTATGGACTGAAGGGTAGAGTCATGAGAGGCGGGCAGCATTAGCAAGAGGTGCTGACGTCAGTGCGCCTCTTGCGTGGACGCCAATTAAACATCTTCACACGCTATCAACTTGATAAAGATGAAAGCATCTTAGAATCCACGGACGCTAAGGCCAAAGCCAGTGGTTGGACTGGCTGGGGTCACAGGTACGTTGTATAAGTAGCTTCTATATCTTACTGTCTGCATCCAGACATTGTACCAAGTCCTTTCCCTACATTCTCTAACTGCTATCTGAGATAAACAGAGAAGGCAATGGGAGCTCAAAGAGGTGCCATAAATTGCCAAAATCACAGCTGAAGTAACAGACTTAAAAATACAACTCCTGGGGTCCCTGGCTGGCTCAGTTGGTAGAGCATGCAACTCCCGAAGTCAGGGTTGTGAATCCGAGCCCCACATTGGGTGTAGAGATTACTTTAAAAAAATGGGGGCGTCTGGGTGGCTCAGTCGGTTAAGCATCTGCCTTCAACTCAGGTCATGATCCCAGGGTCCTGGGATGGAGCCCCACGTCGGGCTCCCTGCTCAGCGGGGAGTCTGTCTCTCCCTTTTCCTCTACCTCTCCCCATCATGCTCTCCCCCAACCCAAATAAATAAATAAAATCTTAAAAAAACAACAACAACAACTAAAGTCTTAGAAAAAAACTATGACTCCCAAGCCTATGCTTTTAGCCACCATGTCATATTGGTCTGTCAGTTTGATGTTTCCAAAAACAAGATAAAATCAACTGTAATATTAAGACCTAGAAATAGGAGTACAAGTAAGTACAAAGTAAGAAGTACTTAACGACATGCTTTCAAGGAGGTGGTCTGCCATCTTAAAAGGTTTTATATCCTGGGTAACAACATGGAATATGACCTATACTACCAGGAAATTCCAGTGTTAAGTTTGACTGCCGTGTTTGAGAAAGTCACACTAAGTCTCCCAACCTATGTTGATCTGGTCGGGCTCTACCTAAAGATACTGTGCCATCATAGCTTGCTTTTCTCAGTCTTCATGGCCAGAAGACACCTTGCAGTGTTGATGCGAGACTTAGGAGAACTTTGTAGTTACCTACAGTCCTACCAAGCCCCTACTAAAACCATTTTCTTCCTAACCTCTCTCCAGTACCTCTTTACATTCGCTGATCCAGTAGAGCCGGCCGGCCACGTAGTCAAGCGTCAGTCCCACAGGCTCCTCCATGTGGACGGCTGTGAGCACCTTCCGATCCGAGCCGTCCATCCCCGCAGCTTCGATAGTTCTCCTGCCTTTCTTAGCACGATTTACCCAAAACAAGGACCTGAGGAAAGCAAAAGCACAAAGTGTTAACAGTACCCCCCCTCCCCGCCGCACTGCACATATGCTGTCCTGAACAGCCAGGCCCCCTTAGCGCTCTTGTTCAGGCCCCAGGTCACCGCACAGCTAAGAATGCAGGAGATTTCTGCCCTCAGACTCAGTGGGCTGAAAAGCTGCTCTCCCTAGGATTCAATTTAGACTTAAAATGAAGACATTTTTGGAGCAAATGAGACCTATGCTGAAAACGTGGAAGGGCTCTCTTATCAACTTAAGTATCTAAGATAACCAATGATTTAGGATATATTCTGAAAGAAAAAATACTTACTTCTTCGTGGGAAACACGATTAGCTGCTCTGGCACCAGATCCTTTTCCAAGATCTTGACGTAGCCTCTGCCATCACTCAAGCCAGCACCGATGACCCTCACGAAGCTGCTACCCCAATACAACTGCCCCGTGAGCCAGTCCAAAGAGATGCTGTCCACGGTTTTAAGTTCTGGGGATACATGAGACAGTATTATGCTCCTGTATTCTTCTACCTTCTTCTTACCTTGAAAAAAAGATTCAGACTAAACTTTTCTACATCTTCTGATTTCAAGCCATATGAGGCAGCAAACGGGACACAGGGAAGGAAGACCAGAGATGTGCTATGTCCAATATACAGTGGGCAGTAGGGAAAGAGAGGGACCTTAGCAGAAGCAGAACCAAGAAATCCAAGAGAATGCAATGAGCTCAGTTTGGGGCAACATCTATTACAGAAGTCTCAGGGGGATTATTAGGAATTGCAACTCTTAACTGCTAGCAGAGGATTTCTATGTGCCCAGGACAATGTCAAACACCTCCTCACATACCATTCTTCTTGAATCCCCAGCCCATCCCACCCGTGCTTACCCAATGAAACAAGGGCTATCCCTTTCGTCTTACTGAGCGTGGCTCAAAGGAGTTAACAACTTGTTCAAAGGCACATACCTAGTGATGGAGCGGAGACTAACCTTGGCCTGAGGCCACATCCCCAAACTTTCTGTACTTCTTCAGAGGGACCTCATTCTCCGGTTATGCTCTACCAAAGCTCCTGTTGAGCCAAATTACGTGGTCTTATCTCAAATCGGGATTGTATACACTCTCATGATTCACGACAAGTGAGTCCACAGACGATGTCCAGATAAATACATAGGTTGCTTATACTCTGCTGAAGTAGCTTTAAGAAGTTAAAGCTCTTAACGTCAAGAAATATACCTGGATAGAGAGGAACCGAGTTTGGCTGCCCAAGGATGAACACATGTAAGACTTCATCCCCCCAAAAGTACATGCTTCTCTCAAGATCATAGGCAACAGAAGTAGGCCTCGATTTTATAGGTATCAGAGTCTCATAGAGGCCTGTTCTTCGATCCAGGACACCAAGTTCTCTGTCTGCAGCTATAAGAATTTTAACAGCATCATCTGCAATAGAAGGTGGAAAAGGAACAGTGACACATCCCTTTGACACTTTCTTTCAGGCCATTCTCTTTCACCAAAGATGCTGTCCCATCTCCCATGCTAAAATCCACTTATCCCTGAAGTCTGGACTCAGGTGTGTCCAGAGGAGATCTAGCTGACCACCCTAAGTTACAATTCCTCCTCTGAAGTCCAACACTTTCCAACTCATCTTTGCAACTTTGGGCCTATTTGATTTCAGATGCAGTCCTTCCCCCACCTAGACAGAGGTGCCCTCCACCACCACCTCCATCTCGTATACGAGTTACCTAGTTACCTAGGCAGCCAAAAGCAATTCACTGTTTCATCGTCAAAGCAGAACAGGCCAAGTTAACATTTTTTCGGTGGGGGGGGGGTCTCTGGAGCACCTAGGTGTATAGCCTACAGAAGAGCTAAGTCATTTTATTTTATTTTTTTTTAAATTTTATTTATTTATTTGAGAGAGAGAGAATGAGAGAGAGCATGAGAAGGGGAAGGGTCAGAGGAAGAAGCAGACTCCCTGCCGAGCAGGGAGCCCGATGCGGGACTCGATCCCAGGACTCCAGGATCATGACCTGAGCCGAAGGCAGTTGCTTAACCAACTGAGCCACCCAAGTACCCTAGCTAAGTCATTTTAAAGATACTTAATATGGGGGCACCTGGCTGGCTCAGTCAGGAGAGCATGCAACTCTTGATCTTGAGGTTGTAAGATGTAGCCCCCTAAGTAGAGATTACTTAGGGAAATAAAAATAAAGAAAAATAAAGACACTTAATAGCAACTGATACTTGATTTGGCCAAGGAATGTTGTAATAGCAGCTTCTTTATGGAAAGAATAAAGTCACCTCTAATATTAGACCCTAAAGTGAATCATCGATAGCACAGCTATCTATAATTACTGCTAAGGACAGAGCAAGGGCTAGGCTTTGCTTAGGGTTGCGAAACTCACCTGTAACTCGACAACTGGTACCATTGTAGAGCTGGTGACCTTGAACACACGCACAGGAGTAAGAGCCTGGGACGTTACGGCATAGCTGACCACAGGGACCGTAGGCCTTGGAGCACTCATCTATATCTGATAGAGAGTCAGAAGTCAGAGATGACCACGGAGCAATCTTTTGAGTGTTTTGGGGCCACTGGGCCCCCTTTCAGATGCTCACTGGACACGTATTATGTGGAAATCCCTGTGCTGGGTGCTGGGGCGGACAGTCCCTGCCTCTATGGAGTTGCCATACAAGTAAGTGTAATTCAGCAGGAACGTCAGTGTGGAGACCCCAGATGTGTGGCTGGTACAGAATCCAGATGGAAGTTACCCTAGCAACACTGTTGGCGGTGTTGCTGATTCAGAATGAATGGTAAGATGCTTGTGCACTGCTGGGGGGAATGTCAAGTGGGGCAGCCCCTGTGGAAAAGAGTTTGAAGTTTTGTCGAGTGAAACGTAGAAGTTACCGCATGATATGACAATTCCCCTTCTGGTGCATACCCTGGAGTATCGAAAGCTGGGATTCAGACATATGTACACCAATTGTCCATAGCATTGTCCACAATAGCCAAAAGGTGGAAACCACCCAAATGCCCATCAACAGATGGATCAACAAAATGGGGCATATACATAGAATGAGGTATTTGGCCTTAAAAAGGGAAGGAGAGTCTGACACCTGCTACGACATGGATGAACCTTAATGACAGGCTAAGTGAAATAAGCCAGACACAGAAGGACAGATACCACATGACTGCACTTAGATGCAGGACTAGAACAGGCAAATTCAGAGAGACAGAAAGTGGATAGAGTTTCCCAAGGACTGGGGACAGAGTTCTTGTTTAATGGGGACAGTGTCTGTTGGGGAAGATGAGAAAGTTCTGGAGATGGATCGGGGTGATGTGTACACCCGTTGTGAATGTGGTGGAGGCCACTGAATTACACCCTTAAAGTGATTAAGATGGTAAATTGTATGGCATGTATGTCCCGCTGCCATAAAAACTTCAGAAGATGCACCAGACAAACTCTGACCTGCACAGCTCTGCCCGTCCGGCTGTAACCGCCACCCAGCTCCACACGAACACTGGACTCCCCAGGTGGTGTCCCTGCACTGCCTCTCACAGCCCCCATTAGCCAGGGAGCAGTTTTTCCCTGGTAGAGATAGGGCAGCGGTCAGGAGAGCTGAACACAGTACGGATCAAACGTGGTGTTACAACCCCCTACATGGTGAGAGGACTAAGCTGTGGTGTTACAACCCCCTACATGGTGAGAGGACTATAGAGGACGTCTGAAGAATAACCTTTGACCCTGCCCTCTGACCTAGGAATGTGGAGGCTTTGGGGCAAGAGCATAGAACAGGGCAAGTGAGGAATCATGGAGCAGGGGAAAGGACTTTTCTAGGCAGACAGTCTGGATAATTTCAAATGCTAGTGTATTGCTCACCCACGGAAGGGCCAGCAACCTCTTCCCTATTTTCTCTAGAAAACAGGAGTGGCCAGGACCCTCGCCTCAGGAAGCAATATAGTAATTGCTTAGTCTCAGCGAATTACCTCTACAGCACCGGAAACCTGTGCTTTGTCCCACTGTTCATGCTTTCAGTGTCTTATGTGTTCCTTTAGTAGAAAGCGGCTTTCACAGCCCTTAGCAGCACTACAAAGGTCTCATCATACACATCTAAGCCCAGATTTAAGGAGGAAGTGAGACAGATGACAAAGTGACCTGGGGACAGGTGCTCCCCCCCCCAACTTGAAACAACAGTGATTTTTATAGTGAGAATCACAAGGTTTTAAGGTTTGAGATGCTTGCTCAGGAGCCTCCCTCCTCACCAGGAAACAGTCTTCCTCAGTCCTTCCTCAGTTAAATCCTTAGAGAATTCACCATATGGTCTTGAACACGTGATTCGCTTCTCAGTGGCAAAGTCTGTGTTTTTTTATTCCAGAATTTTTGGAGCAATGTGGTTTGAGGCATGTAGTCTGTTTCCCTAGAGCCATAATGTGAGGAGAACTCACAAAGTTTTACAGCTCAGGGAAGCTTTGCACACACTCAGGAGACCAGAGCCGAGGCCCGGAACTTGTAGGATGTGGGGGACCCGCCATGGAAGGGTGACTGCTGACGTAGGGGTTTGGTCCAAGCATTCCCAGAGAGCGTGGACCCCCATGATAACTAAGGCATTGGCTGATGTAATCGGAGTCTCCCCCCCCCCCACGTGACACCCGGCAATTGGGTCCTCACCACATGTAGTGGGTTCATCAGCACCATCCGCACAGTCTGCCTCCCCATCACACATCAGGGATTCCAGGATGCATTTCCCTTCATCGCATCTAACCATGCCTTCTGGACAGGAGGCTGTGTAGGAAGAAGAGCCTTCTTTTCCAACAGCACGTGGGGGAAGGAGGAGTCAAAACAGACAATCATTAATTACAGTAAGGCGGCAGGATTTTCAGAACCAAGGCAAGTCTAGGTAGGAAAGAAAGTCTTATCATTTTAAGCAGAGTTATCAGGGAATTGGGACTTAAGACTTGATAACGATGAAGTCACCCAAGCCACTGGGCGCTGGGTTGAAATAATATTGAATTCGAATTGAATTAGTATTAAGTAGTTGTAATTGAAATGGTGTTAAAATCTGTCAACATGAACCCTAAAGGAAGACCCTCCTACAAAACCAGTTTATACATGATAAAAATGTTAGAATCTGAATATATTCAATATTGCAGATTTAATTCTAGAAAGATCAAGTGGGATTGTGGTTTGCCATGAAGTTGGGGGTTCCACTGCATTGTGTATGTGGGGTAAAGAAAAGGAACGTGGTACTCATCAAGTTCTTCTCAGGGGTTGGGGGGTGGGGGAGGGAGTCCTCTTTTAATGAAAATTTCCCCCCGTCATTGACTACACAAGGACGTGAGGCATCCGTTAGGAGGCTTCCTTCAGATGTGGACGCTCTGGGGTTCTGAGCCGTGGCCATATGGCCTAGAGCGTCCAGCAGAGTTACTATTCGAGCACTGCTCGATGCTTCCATGGACAGCTAACTACATCTTGGTCATTGCTAGGAAACATCCTGTTTTTAGATATAGGATGGAAGTCTCGGTTATAGGAATTAAAATGCAACTTTTATAAAGCAGCCCACATGGTACAACAGTCCTCTTCAGAGGATAGGCCGGGAGGGGCGGGGGAGGGGCACTCACCACAGGCGTCCTTGTCTGAGAAGTCCTCACAGTCATTGACCCCATTGCACCTCCAGCTATCCGTGACACACACCTGGTTCCTGCACCGCCACTGGCCCACCAGGCAGCGCTTTGGGGAGCAGCATGCTTCATCGAGCCCATCTCCACGGTCCGCGTGGACATCACAGAGTTCCCAAGCCTCGCGACACTGAGAATGTCCCGGACACCTGACTTTCTGGCCAGGGCATGCCGTGGAGACCTCTGTAAAAGGTAGGCGTTGGCTCAGTGTGGTGGAACGGCTGAGCTGCAGCCTTGTGTATTTGGGTAGTCACAGTTTGCTCATGGATTTGTTCTCCAGAAAACCAAGAATCGAATGGGATGCGGGCCCCTGGAGATGTGGCCCCCAACTCTGTACACTGAAGTTTCACCCCCAAAGCAGTTTAAAAAGCCAACAGAGGCAAGAATCTTTTAGGTGATTTTGCAAAATGCAGAAGTGGATAAAAGGTCACCTGTCATCCCGGCGACAATCGAACATCCGGCAGAAGACTATCCAGTGACTCACTGGTGTCACTTAACTGCGTGGAGGTTCATCGACGTGGCTAACACAGAACATGTCCGAAGAGAAAATAAATTGTACATACCACAGTTAACCTCATCGGAGCGTCCAGGCAAGTCCCCTGCGCCATCACAGAGCCAGCTAACAGAAATACACTTCCCATTGTCACACTGCCAGGCCCGTGGGTGTCCACGACACACTTCCTCTGCGGGCCGGGGGTAGTGTTCGAGAGGCAGAGAGGAAGAGGTGTTTGTCAGGGTGTTGGCAGCTTTTCAATTTGGGTTTCGTATGAAGTATTTTCATTAGCAAAAGTACAATTAAGTCCCGGTCTGCCACGGAGTCCATCCTAAATTTGCCTGCCCTTTCCATGTCACCCCGAAACAACACACCATACCCCTGCCTTCCAGCTTCGGTACTTATTTAAAATGTTTTATCCCAGTTTCAGTACTTGTCCCATGCTTAAGCTAGACTTGAAGGTGAGAAGCCAGACTTGTGCTGGATTTTCTATTCCAACTAGCCCCCCACACTTGTCCTGAGAACAGTGCTACCAACATGTACATCCCTAGACTTAACCTGCTGAAAGCCGCAACAACCCAGCACACCTAATATTCCTGAATACCCCCTAAGAGGGAAAACCCTAAGACCTGACACCGTCAGCCAGGCACACAGCACTAAGGGCCATTCCTGGATGAGAACACAATAGAGCGAGGAGTGCTCACCACACTGCTCATCACTCCCATCAGGGCAATCTTGCTGTCCATTGCAGAGCCAGGTCACAGGAATGCACCTTTCCCCACACGCAGCTTTCCTCGTCATGTTACACCTTACTTCATCTGCATTGGATGAACAAAGAGCAAATCATGCAAGTTCCTGGCTTCCTTGGGTACAAGAGAACACCTTTCCACGAGAAGCTGCAGTGAAAAGGTCATTCAGAGGAAGGTCCTTCATCTAATACCCAGAACACTAGGGGGATTCAGTACCATAAAAATCCACAACACTTCTGCAGTAATGATCCTTGGAAACTGTTCTTTCTGGTGGTGTGGAGTTGGGAAATTGCCATTCACCTCTGTTTTCCCATTCGAATGGGGCCAACCTGCACTGTGCTCAAAGAGACCCAGCTACTTCTCCAGATCTGGTTTGATCTTAAAGACTCTGTATGAATAGTTGCACATTTAGAAGTCTAAGCTCAAAGTTTGGGCTCTAGTTTACTTTAAAAAAAAAAAAGATTTTATTTATTTTTTTGACAGAGACATAGAGAGACAGAGACACAAGCAGGGGGAGTAGGAGAGGGAGAAGCAGGCTTCCCGCTGAGCCGGGAGCCCGATGCGGGGCTCGATCCCAGGACCCCGGGATCATGACCTGAGCCAAAGGCAGATGCTTAAACGACTGAGCCACCCAGGCACCTGGACTCTAGTTTACTTTTAAGCATGTGCAGACACATCTAAAAATTAGATTAGGATTTTGGGTCCTACATACTATCTTCATAAGAATGACTCTAATAGGTTGGTTATAAATCTTTAAGGTTAGGTTTCAGTTATTTGCATGAGACTGATTTACACTATCTGTTTTATTCAAGTCATGAACTTGTGTTTATCAACCTTGAATGATTAATGCTCAAAAATAAGCCTGTTATGGAATGTGGTCCTCAGAAGGAAGCACCAGGAAGGGCTGACTATACTGAATTTACTACACTGTCCTAACTTTCACAGAGAAAAAGCCAATCTTTAGTTCCTAGAAAAGATAAACCACATGGTCTGTACTAGAAGTCTCTGCAAAATGCAGTGAAGAACCCCCCTCCATGGTCCTACTCCCAGACACAATTTGTACATGGAATGGAAAGTGGTACGCAAGGTTGTGCAATGGAAATTGACAATGGAAGGCCATTGTGTAGACCACACCTTCTTTGGTAAGCGACCATTCCTTAGTCTTACTTGTATCCCTCTAAGATAGTACTTTTAGCTTAGCTACTCAAGGTTTGATTTTGTTTTAAGGCTGACTTATAAAAACATTTCAAATATTCAGACAGTATTGGTTACTAATGGGTAGCTAACAACTCTGCCATCTACTCACGTGCCATGCAAGCCCTCTCACTTAGCTTGACCAAAACCATTGAGAGCAGGTGATGTTACCAGCCATTAATATGGAGCACAGATTTAGCTGTCAGGCTACATAGGTTGGCATTTCAGTGAGATCACTTACTAACAACATGACCTTGGGAGAGTTACTTCCTCTCTCTGGATCTCAGTTTTCTGCCTATAAAATGAGACTAGTAAATAAGTGATCAGAAGAGAAAGATTCATAGATTAAATGGCCACAAAGCCACTTGGCGCAGTATACCCACCATATAAATCTTCATAAAGCGTTAACTCTTTTGCTACCACTTCTGGAAGATCCTTCCAGAAGGATCCCAATTAGGGGTCCAGTCAGCCCTCAAAGACTCACACTTGCAGGTGAGTCACACCTTGAACAATATTTTGCCCTGGTGATTCTCAGTCTGGAGACCAAGTGTGCATGTAGATTCTACACAACCGCAGATGGGTCTCAAGATATTACTTCTCACTTATGTAGATGCTTACTGTGAATAAATCAGAAATGTATTAATATATTTACTTCTATATTAAGTATAGGGTAGCTTTCTCATAGTCTGTTAATATGCCAAGTAGGATGATCACATGCTATTCTAGAACAGACATCCTAAAGAGGGCTGTATGCCATAAGGCTTCGGAAACCACCGCTTTGTAAAAAATGCAAGTAGCTGTAAAGGTGCTTCAGGAGTGATGCAAAAAGACCACACAGAGCAAGGGCTTCTCATCACTGCAGAGATGCCCCACCAGGTGAGGCAAAAATCCTGTGGGTTAGAATCCCTCCTGAAGACAAACAACTCAGTTAAGCGGCACCTCCTCCAAATTAGTTAACACCCCCCTTGACCAAGAGTCTGCATAAGTTAAAATGATTTAAAACCAGCCTTCAATCTATGAGGGCTATTGAGGAGCACCTGTCGGGAGAGATCCGCAGGCCAGACAGTTTGACAAATGCTAGGCACCTCCTAGACATAGGTAAGCCAACAACCGGCCACCCACCACTTGGAAACTGTGGGTGTCTCAGTCACCCTGGGGCATGGACTCAGCTCTCCTCTGCCCTGGGGTCTGCCTGAACCTGAGTGGTATATCAAGTGCCACAGAACTGCACCTCAGACCCAAGCCCCATTTCCCCGTGCTGTTTCTGGAGTGAGGTTATGTCTTCCCGAGGCCCCGGGCCTCCACCCAGGCTAAATCTGCTGCCTGGTGATCCCTGAGCTGCGGGTCCCCTCGGAGACCAGGGCTAGAAAGCGGATCCCACTAGGCCAGGATGTTGGGGGAAGGAAGAGGGTGCGCCCTGCACTCAGGTGTGCAGAGAGCTCTCTCCCACACGCTTGGGGAAGGATGAAGGAAAGACACAGAGGGTGTCCGCGGAGCCCACCTACCCTTCCACCCACTGGGCAGAATGGGAAGGAGTCAAGCGCAGAGAAGCAGGGGACCACGCAACTCATCTGGCGCCCCCCCCCCCCCGAAGGCCCGACGTCACCCTCCTCTGTGGAAGGTCACTGCAGAACGGGGGCTGGGGGGCGTCGCGCACACCAGCCAGGGTGCCCCAAGCTCCCCTCCCGCCCCTTGCAGCGCCCCCCAGCCCGCCACCCCTGTACCCTGTGAAGCGGGCTGCCGTCCCTTCCAGGGCGCCCCGCCCGCGGCCCCACTCACCGGTCCCGGAGCCCGCGAGGCCGCCCAGCGCGGCCAGCACCCGCGGCAGGAGCAGAAGGAGCGCCCGGCGCCCCATGGCGGGGAGCGGACTGGGCGCCTCGGGGCTGGCGTGGCGCTTGCGGGAGGAGACCGCGGGCGGGAGGAGCGCGGGCGGTGCCGGGGGCGGGCTTTCCTCGGCTCGCGCCGCTCATTGGGCCTGGCTGGGGCCGTGGGCGGGGCGTGGGGAGCACCGACGCCGCCAGCTGCCGGGGCCGCGCTGCCCGGGCCCCAGCCAGGCTGCCGGGAGCACGGCGCCCGCCTCTCCGCAGGTCTCCCCTCCTGCCGTGGGACAGGAGACACTCGCCTAACTCGGGGCCTAGCCATTGCCACGAGGAGGGGCAAAGTGGGAGCGCTCAGCCATGCTTAACCAAAGGATTCCCAAACTTTTAAGAGCACAGGAATCACCTGGCACTCTCCTTAATAGGCAGACTCTGACCTTACAGGTCTGGAGCGGGGCCTGAGAGTCTCTAACAAAATCGTCATCAAGTGATGCCTTTGTTGCTGGTCCTCAGACCTCACACTGAAACCCCAGGGCTTAATAGCTTCCAAACTAGGGCAGCACTGTGAACCCAGGTCTCAGGAACCCTTCTCTGCCAGGACTCCCGCTCTGCCTCCTGCCTTCCCAGCGCACCGTGGCAGAGGCAGGCCCTCCTGACCTGGGTCTGTGCCGATAGCTCTGAGGTGTCAGCCCTGAAAAGCACCAAAGCCCTGAAAAACACCATTCCTCTTCCAGTCTGTGTCCCTGCGGGAGTGGAATGCTTGCTCTCATCAACCATGGGACACCGACATGGATTTGGTGGGTGGAAATCCCTGGAGGGTCGCAGACTTCTAGGATGGGAAGGATTCGAAGGTCATTTTATCCAAATGCTGCCATTCGGGGATGAGATTATGGATAAAAATGAGAGTTGGTGACACGTTACCAAAGACATAGACCACCCTCCCATCCCCTTCTTTAGCTAAGCTGTGGCACTCCTTCTTTCCAGTACACCCAGAGAAGTGAGTGTCACATTCTCGGAGAGAACACGACCGAGTTAGAATTTTAGAACGTTAAACTGGCAAGGAACATTTATAGTGTTTGGGAGCTCAAGCAGCAAAAAACACCAGGAAACAAAAATAGAAACAGAAAACTGAATTGCAAAGTGCCTTCTTAGATTTTATTTGCAACACAGTACTCCAACGGCTTTTTTTAAAATCATACCTCCTCTTCATGTTCACTGCTGGTCCCATCAAACCACACTTTGAAGATATCAGAATGCCATATGCTCTGAAGTTTTCTTTAAATTCGTTGTATGCTCTGATTGCATAAGCCACTTAAAAAGACCCCTCCACTTTTAACAAAAATCTCCTAGTATATCATACTGACTTCTGCTGAAACGTTGTTGCTTTAGAAACAGATTATCTCAGATGCTTAATGGTCTTGAGTGACACAATAGAGCAACTCAGAGTTTTAAGAATATAGACTAGTTTTCCTCCCAGAGAGGAATTGAGGCTAGTGGTGAGTACCTGGAATTGAAGTGTGGGAGACCTGGGTTCAGTCTCAGCTAAATGAAGTGATATGTGGATACAAATGGTAGCTATGTTATGAACAGCCAGTGTCGACTCTTAATAACCCACACCAGCTGAAAAAAGCCACAGACATGAGTGATAGAAGTAAGAATTTCGGTAACATTTATATTTGTCTTTAAATCCTTATATTGCGACTCGTTCTTAGTGACATGTGTTGTCCTCTCCTAGGTCTGTCCCCACATTTCACCTTTTCAATCGGCTCTGTCAGCCTGTGGTGATCAGAATAATGTCCCACCACCACCTGAAAAAGGTAACATTCTAATCCCCAGAGCCTGTAAATTGTGATTTATTGTTGTTTTGGTTGCAGGATATGAAGAAAATCTGGCCTCACACAGAGAAGTGTTGGCTACAGAAGAAGTAACAGCCTTTCCAGTTAAGCGTAGTTACTCTTTGATGCTGTTACTGGTTTGATTTTTCTGCCTCCCAAAAAAATATGTCAATGTCCTAACTCCCAGTACCTCAGAATGTGACCTT